TCTTACATACCACTTGTATCTTTCTTTGGTATTATTGCAATTATCAATGGAATATACAACCATGGAACTTCTCATTTGTTTGTCTATATTGCCTCTTTGGCTCTCAGTTTCTTTCAAAATTGCTGTTTAGTTCATCATCCACAATCATGGTAGTGAAGGAATGTTGTGAATAACTGGTCAATTTTGTGCATCCTATCGGAAAACCATCTAATCAAACAATTGCTCAAAAGTATGAGTTGCAATTTGGCGAAAATGAGTTCACACATATATTGCTTTTTTTTTTTTTTTTTTTTTTTTTGAGACCGGCTGCACCGCGCTCAGCCAGTGAGTGCTGTGAGTGCACCGGTCATCCCTATATAGGATCCGAACCTGCGGGGGGAGCGCTGCACTCTCCCGAGCGCTCCACGGGCTCAGCCCATATATTGCTTTTAATTTGTGGTAGTCATAGCTCCTTGTTCCTCCTCAGATAAGTAAAAAATTCTCAAGTGATCTCATATGCACCACAAAAGTATGAAGAAATAATAGCTATTTATAAAATTTTTAAAATCAAGGATTCTTTTTCCCCTTCCATAACCTACACACACTCATACACACACACACACACACGTGAGAAAAAGTCCTAAATTAAGTGTTCTAGGTTTTCATGTGTGAAGAATTATTGTATATTTTAATTACTGTCCCATGAGCAGAAGCTATTTTTCCACATAACAGTATATTATACTGTCTCAATGACTTTGACATACATGAATATAAATAAATAAGACAAATCAATGAAGTTCATATATAAAATTTTATATCTCTTGCTCCTCAAATAAATGTTTTGATGAGTTACCATTTATCTACTAAGTTCTGGACTCTGCACTCCTTAGGGAAATGGCAAAAGGCTTTCTTGAGTGTCAGATTATGCATTTGGATCTCTGATTTAGTGGAACAGTGTGTAAAAATCTCTCATAATCAGAATACTCCCTATTGGCTTCATATCTGAAAATCCCCAAGAGTGCTGTTTGTCCCAGTGAACATCTGGAGTAGATTATACACAGTTAATTGGCTCCAGGTCGAGCCTGTTACAGACAGTAGCATGTAGTATAACCTATAGAATTCACTAAATCCACCCACTTCGGGTTAAATCACACCTACTTCTCTCCATAATTCCTCCCATATACGGGACACATACACACGTGTATGTGCACACAAAATACACACATACACACAGACATACACACTGAAAATAGGAAAACATCAATAGATTTGTGGAAAGGTTGTTGGTAAGACATGTAGCCCATAAATTATCTCAATTAAAAGATTAACTATTGAATTAAAAGGATTATTGGGAAGAAAAACAAAGAATCAGGAGCAGCAGATTGTAGAGAATGACTGTTTTATAGTAGAAAAATATTTAAAATCTTTTAAAAAGTTCTAGCAGTTTCAGGATTTAGGCTTTATTTTGTTCATCCTCCTTAGTATATGTTTCAGCACGTGTAGGCACTTACCAGAATGCCTTAGCAGTAAAGAAAGCAATGCTTTGATTTTTAACTTATTTAACGATATTAATGAGTTGGGTTTAAAGGAAACAGTATAACTACTGTTCATTGAAAACCAAAACATCAATCTTCCTAACTTACGATGTTGGAGGCACAGGGCATGTCTTAGCGATTAATGGCCAGTTGGAGGAGTAGATATCGCAATACATAGCCAAGGGCCGTTAACCCCAGCTAGTCATTAATTCCCAGGAAATGTCCTGTACTGAGGTCATTATTCCTAGTAAAATGCAAACATGGAAAGTTCCCTTTCTTTTGCCTATGTACGTAAGCATACATTTACATTACATACCTTGTTATGTGTCATGGAAAAAAGTAGTATTTAATATGTCCAGAAGCTCAGAAAAACTAAGCCTAATGAGAAATTTAATACACTTAGTCTCTACATTCAACTTTCCTTTCACTTTTTTTGGAAAGTGTGGGTAGGAGGGAGAATACATGTTTGTAGGTCAAGGCTGTGGGTCTGCTGCAATCAAGTACCAGTGTTGTGCTAACATGTGGATATAGGGAACAGGGAAAGAAAAGGGAAATGGGATTATAGAAGCTCTGATGAATGTGGGTGGAACCATCACACATGATCGAATACCAAAGGCAGTAAGGAGGATGCATTGTTTTGAGCCATAATATATTAGGCACCTGAACAGACATTAGGCAAAGCTGCTCTTTGGTGTCTCCTCTTCCTTCTCTTCATAGCCATCTAATCAAGTCTACCATGTTGCCTGCCTAGCTTTTCAGCAACCCTTCACCAGATAACACTGTTTTCTGGAAACTCTTTTTGTTCTCCATGAAACTATTTTTGCCTTGTGTAAACCAATACGATACCCCTTTTAGCTGCTTCCGTAGAATCTCAAAAATATCTCCACTTAGAATTATTTTATGGTACTTTAATTATTTGTACGTAATCAACTACTCCTTTCAGAAAAGGATCTTATCTTTCTCCTCACCTTACTAAATGGTTAGGGATTAACTATGGTGTTAATGACTGATAAGAATATATATAATATTTATGTGAATATATATATATGTTCAAATATCATGACAAGTTATATAAATATACATAAATCTATAAAATATTAAAATATAAATATATAAAACTTGTGATGCTATATGCATAAAAGCAACAAGTTTTTAAGAATCTGTAACTCAAAGAATGCATCCACTTTTATGTGTAAATGGTAAAGTAAAAAGTTGCAAGGGTGCATTTCTTGAGAGACTGAGAAATTTAAAACTCACATAATTCAAATTTAATCTGATAATTTTTTCTATAGATCAGCTAAAGTAACTGTGTTGTAGCACTAGCATAAACATGTTTTCTTACTGCCTTTGAAATAATACAATTTTTTAGAGCTTATTTCAAATATGTTATTTAAAGAAGGACTTTGTTAGTGTTTTATATTAAAATATGCATAATCAAAATTCTAAAAACTAAAATTTTGATGACGGGCTACTGATGGTATGGATATTTTTTGGTAAAAAGGACATTCCTGTTGTCTTTCAAATTATTTCTAATTAGGTGAAACTTTCAAGAAATGTTAAGTAAATGTAAATAAAATATGTGATATGTGGCATATTTAATAAATTACTCTTAAATACATGTTTAAATCAATTTTATCATTTGCACATGCAGTAATCTTCTAAAAGAAGAACTAAATATACACAGAACACACACAAAGAATAATTTGATACTTCCTGTAGGTATCTTTGAAAGTAATGAAAGTAAAGAATATAGTTTATTAAGCATTTGAAAAAAATATAGTTTATTAAGCATTCACATTCAACATTTCACAAAGAAATTTAACATAAAATTTGAAGTCTATTCTTAAATGCTTATCATGCATAAACATAAATTGAAAAACCTTATAGTAGTATCTTATTTCGCTTCCCCAGATTGATCTTAATTTCTGAGATTTTAGGTAACTGGAGCCTTGTTATTCACCGTCTGGGAGGCATTTTAGTTGTGAAGAGTTGCCCTCCCTTTAGAAAAATTTACTTTGTTTTTGACCTTCTCTTAAAACTAAACCATATATGAATAAAATATTTATTTTGAACCTTAAATAATTAGAAAATTACTTTGAATCTAAATTTTTTTTAGGGCTGAAGCTATCACCAAAGAAATAGAAAAATTATTTGGACAACAGTTAAAGCAGGTATCACATCCAGAATTCTCCCTGGAAGTTGACATAGCAAGATCCTTTCTATAGGCTGTTTCCTAGAAAGAGAGTAGTAAGTTAATGGAGAAGGGAGAGAAGTTGAATATTCCATCAGGAGTTGAAGATCACTTGATCCTACCACAATGAAAAGCACCCAAAGACTTTAGTGTTAAGAAGGCAGACTAGCTAAAGTCCTGACCAAGTGTTATTTTATCTATCTCTTACTTGCCCGTGACCTTGCAAAATCTATTTAACTCTGTACCTCAGTTTCCTCATCTGTAAAATGAGATAAATAATTACCTACCCTTTATGGCTATTATCAGCATTAAATCATTTTATCTATGTAAAGCACTTTTTAAAAAGTATCTGGTACTATAAATACTCAATAAATATTTGTAATGTTTATTATCAGGCTTTGTTTGAAATATGGGTGATTTACTTCATGTCTTAACTAAGACAACCAAGTCAGCATATGTATGGCAACCTAGTTAATAACTACTTCCTCCCACTTATAGGTTTTTGTTTTTCTGTACAGTGCTGCCCTGTGCGGCATAGTAAGACTGCATTGTTCTAGGCCTAACTTCTACACTGGTGGCCCTAACCTGATCTTGTCCAATTTCTTCAATTTAAGTGGACTTTTATTTTTTTATTTTTATTTTTTTTCCTTGTGACCAGTAAGGGGATTGTAACCCTTGGCTTGGTGTTGTCCGCACCGTGCTCAGCCAGTGAGCGCACCAGCCATCCCTATATAGGATCTGAACCCACAGCCTCAGCACTCCCAGCGCCGCGCTTTCCCGAGTGAGCCATGGGGTCGGCCCTTAAGTGGACTTTTAAAATGTCTTTTACATCAGAAACAAGAGAAGAACTCCTTCAAAGTGACAGCTTTTGTCTATTTTCTTTGGGGATCTTTTCTTTGGGGGACGATATGAGGTTAAGAAGTAGGCTTCTACCAGTGCTCTTATCTGACCAAAGAATTTGTCAAGTTATGGAAAAATTTGGAGCCTCAGACATTTGCATTAAAAACAAAAACAAAACAAAACAAAATAAGACAAAAAATGTTAATAGTGGAAGAGATGTTAATTGACATAGTTGAATTTCTGGTGGTGCATTCATTTCTACATCTGAGCAAAGCCAGTCCTGAATTTTGCAACTCAGTTCTGATTCATTTACTCTGCAACAATTTCATAAGAGCAAAAGAAGAGAGGAGAAATTGTTTTTAAAAAATCTATATACATTCAGAGAATTATAATTTAGTGAAGTCTAGGAAAATCTGCAAAGTACTATATTAATAGTTCTTTTCTTATTTTTTTAGATTAAATTACCAGTGTTTGAAAGGGAGCATTGTTTTCATCATGAATGCTAATAAAGATGAGAGACCAAAGTCCAGAAGCCAAGATTTTCACCTTTTTCATGCTTTGATGATGCTAGGCATGACCATGCTGTTTCTTCCAGTCATTGGAACTTCTAAGCAAAATATTCCACGACTCAAGCTAACCTACAAAGGTAAATATGTAAATAGTTCAGATTGTTTATTAAGATTTCTGAATGCCTTTTTTGATTACAGTATTTGTTTAATTTAGAAATGCATATTGACATCTATGAAATGTTTATAGTGTGGGCATCAGTTAATAAATTATAGAACACAAGACCAAGTATTTATTTTGTGAGAAAAAAGGATGTTGAAACTACTCAAGTACATTTCCAGCCCAGTATTTGTGCTCATCAATTTGGTCTGCAAGTTGTAATTGATTTTGTGTTAAAACAAATGTCTCTGAAAATAGGAAAATGCTAACTCCACATAACTGCTACTAATTAGTTTATTCCTCGTTAGAGGGAATGTTTTAAACACAGTAAGATATCTTCAAAAAATTTTTAACACACTAGGATAATTTTAAGATAAGCATATTCATGTCTTGTAATAGCAAACAGGCAATGTGAAAGTCTTAGAATATTGAGATGAAAAAACTGTTTAAGAATTAAGCTAATTCTTTGTAAAAGCTTAAATTAACATAAAAGCAAAGTTTATAGGTTATTGTTAGTCATATTGTGTGTGTAGGGAGTTTGTGTGCATACAACTTTTTCTACAAGTTTTGTGCCCAAAGGCTTTTTAAAAAAAAAAAAAATGTATTCTGGGCTTCATTAATACAAGTAATAAAAGGGATGTAGGGAGAATCAAACTCCTTTATTCTGAACTTTGGCAGGTGAAAATTATGCTGAAAATTTTAATACCCTGTGATCTTTAACATCATATTTTTCAGCCCAAATTATTTAATGTTATTAAATAAAAATAATAAAATAATAAAAGCTAACTGAGTGTCAAATGTAAGAGTAAGTGAAATTAGCACATTATAGCCATTATGCATTTTATATGTTGGTATTTACTTGGAATTTGTATCTCATGTATTGAAGAAATGAACAATTTATATGATTTTTTGAGTTTTTATATATTTAAATGTGTACGTCTTTTAAATTAGAAGTATATTTATTGGTAATCTAGGATGAAATTTTTATCTGGGAACATTGATCTTATTATGAAATATAACTTACTAATATTTTATTTAATCAATAATTGAAAGCTATATTTGAATATCATCCACTTCTTAATCATGAATATGTTCAATTTTATATGATTCCCCCAAAATTCTTTTGGCCTCAAGTAAACATTAACAGTTATGCTAAAGTATTGGATACAAATAAAAAACAAAGTCAAGGCTTTAACCACTTTAGAGTAACTAGTAGTGGATTATACCTTTCATCATAAACAACTATACAACTGGACAAACTACATGAAACAACCATTTTTAGACATTGAGCAATAGGAATCAGGGAGGAGAGAAAAAAAAGAAATACCAAAGGGGGAGACTCAGAAAAGATTGCATTTCAAAGAATGCTGAGAGATATAGGAGTTCTGAGCAGCCAGGAGGAAGATGCCTGACTTAACACTTTGAGCATTCAGGCAACATGCTGAAAAGATGACATTTTATGAGCTGAGCTTCTCTATCTGTAGAGTAAAAAATACTCAAGTCCTGCTTTAAAAAACTTAAAATTAAGCCTCAAAAGGATCAAGATGATATGCCAGCAAATTTAATATCTGCCAGAAAAAAAAAATTCTCAACAATTTCTAAGGTAAGAAAACCCAGAACAACCAGATTTGCAAAAATTTAGTAGCTACAATGTTCAAATGCAATCAAAAGTTACTAGACTTATAAAGAAACAGGAAAATGTAATGGTAACTGTTGGGGGCCTGAAGCTCCACAAGCTCCACACCCCTTCTTGTGAGACCGCTTCTCCTTGACAATCTGCTCAGATGGCCATGCTTTACATAACTGCCTCAATCTTTATGCCAGAAACTGATTGCTCCTGGCTATGCAAGTTAATTTGCAAGTGACCTTTTATCCTTCTCTAGAAACTGTTTAACTATAAACATTCTGGGTGGCAACCTTTACTTTGAATGTCCTGTCTTTGTCTCTCCTCAAGATATTATCATATCTTTACATTCCAGACCCTTTGCAGCATGCCTGCCTTCTCCTATATAAGATGTAACCTAAGAATCAATAAACGAGACTTGATCAGAATACTGTCTTGTCTCAATTTCTCGTGTCTCTTGTCCCATCCAATTCCCACTCCCCCCTCCAGGGTCTGCGTTGAATATCCCGCGGGTCGGGACATTTTTGGCGCCCAACGGAACCATAACCGGTACTATGTAATGTTTCAGGTAACAGGAAAACATACAGTTAATGGTGTCCGAACGTGAGATCGTGCAGATGTTCACATTAGCAGACAAAGGACTTTAAAAAGTTATTATAAATTTGTTCAACATTTTAAAGAAAGTGTTTTTAAAGTGTAAACAGGGAATTTCAGTAGAGAAGTGAAAAGTATGTAAAAAAAAAAAAAAGAACTAAGTGGAAATCCTAGGGATGAAAAGTATACCTGAAATTAAAAATTTACTGCATAGATTGCAGATTAGAGATAGCAGAGCAAAGTTCAGTAAACCTAAATATAGAGAATTAGGGACCATCTAATATAAAGAATCCTTAGACGTTTCTTATATATCAACTTATAATGCACTACATTAAACCAAAACAATTTCTCCAAAGCTGTTTGAGATAAGCCTTTCTATTCTTTGAGTTCTCTTTGTGACTATTATGTGGCAATATATTTAAGATTCTTAGAAGCCCTATTGTTTAACAGAGAATCTTCAAAGCTACATGTTTTAGTTTTTTTGTTATGGCGGTGCCCCATTCCTAAAACCGAAATACAATTTGGATGTCTGCTGCTGTGTAACAAGCCTTCATGATACTCAGTGCCTTAGAAAAACAACAATTATCTTATTATCACTCTAACTTTCTGTGAAAACCATGAAAGGACTCACCTGGGTGGTTCTGGCTTGTGCTCTCTGATGTAGTCATCAAATGATGACTGATGTTGGAGCAGCAAGGGTCTGGAGCATTGGCTGTCTGGCATCCTCTCCTCATGCAGTCTCAGATTTCTCTGAGGGGGTCTTTGCACATGGGTAGTTTGGGCTTCCTCAAAACCTCATGTGCATATATTTCAATAAACAAGGAGGAAGTTGTATTTTTTTTTTTTTTACCTAGCTTCAGAAGTCACATAGCATTACTTCCAGGGTACTCTACTGGTTGAAAAGTGGTAAGGCCTCACTTGATTTCAAGAGGAGAGCGCATAGATTATACTTCTCAGTGATAATTGTGTCAAAATCACATATACAAGGAGCTGTGGCATGGAAGGTATTGTAAACACCTTTGTAAAACACAATCTGCCACAACTAACTTATAGAAAGTCTTTTAATTTTTATTAAAGACTTCTATTCAGATCAGTGGGGAAAGGAAATGGTACTGAAACAATTTGATATCCATATAGAAAAAAATGAACTTCAATTTTTACCCTACAATATACACAGAAAACAATTTAAGATGGATCGTGGGCCTAAAAGTAAAAGCAAAAATTCTAAAGCTTCCAGACTAAAACATGAAATAATATCTTTGCAACCTGAGAGTAAGCAAACATTTCTTAGGACATTAAAAACAATAACCATTAATGTTTTTTAAACTGAATATCAGCAAAATTAAAACAAAACTTTGCTTACCAAAGAAACTATTAGGAAAAAGAATAGGCAAGGTACAAAATAGTCACAAAACTTATATCTGAGAAAAGACTTGAATCCACAATACATATATATGTAGCTTAAACACATCAAAAAAAACAAAACACCAAATTTATAAAGAATAATACCTGAACAGACACTTCACAAAGGAAGATATACAAATGACCAGTAAGCACACGCAAGTGACAGACATCCTTAGCCATCAGGTAAATACAAATTAATATTATAAGGATATTCTCCTACATATTTATTGGAATAGTTAACATTTTAAAAAAGTCAAAGATATCAAATTTTGATAACTATGTAGAATAATTTGAGCTTGCAAACATTATTGGTAAGAGTAAATTTGGAAACAATTTTTGACAGTTACTTATACTATTAAACTTTTTATCTGAAATTCTAGAGAATACAAAACTAATCAATGGTTAAAAAAAAAATCAAAACTTTTGCCCATGGGGTAGCAGGAAGGATTGACTGGGAGGGGCAGGAGAGGAAACGTTCTGGAATTTTAAAAATGTTCTCTATCTTGATAGGGATGTGGGTCATCCAAGTGTATACTCTATCACAGCTCATCAAATTGTACACATAAGACTGATTCATTTGCCTATATACAAAATTTATTTTTTAAAAAGTACAGAAAACAAATATTAAAAGCCAAACAATAAAAAAAGAATATGGACAGTTTGAAAATAAAGGAATTGGAGAAAGAAAAATAAGAAACTCTATCTGGTCTGTAATATAGTGAATATTGCAAAAATATTGCATTGGTAAGTGTGGACAGTGCAAAATAAATCACACTTGCAAATAAACTTTGGAATAGATAATTGATATTCATTGAGGATTCATTATGAGCAAAGCATTAGTGGAAGGATAATGCGTGAATTATCTCTTACCATCTTCACCACCACCCTGTGAGGCGTCATGATCTGCTTCCTGAATATGAGGGTACTGAGGTACTGAGAGATTGCATAATCTGCCAAGGTTACAAAATTCACTCTCAAATCCTGGGCAGCCTCTGGCTACATAGAGCTTGGGCTTCTAACCTTATCTCACTGAATATAGACACAAGTAATTTTTCCCTGAGACACATACCTAACAGAAGCTTCACACTGATATTTGACTAAAATTGATTATGTGATTTTTTAATTGTCAAAATTAAGTGGATTAGGAAGACCACATGCATTCTTTTAGATCACCAGATGGCCAAAAGAAATTTATTGACTTTTGTGGGATTTTGTACCCTTTGCTAAACTTATAGGGGAGAAAAGTAGATTGTTATTAAGATAGTTTGTCTTTATAATAAAAATTTTGTAGGAAATTGACTTCTAAATATTAACTCAAATGTGGGAAGTTGATCATGTGAAAATAAAATTATTTGTGT